CCCCCCCCCCCCCACCCAAAGGGTTCAATCCAGGGGAGGGTCAAGTAATATATCTGGAGGGGCAAGTAATATATCTGGAGGGGCAAGTAATATATCTGAAGGGACAAGTAATATATCTGGAGGGGCAAGTAATATATATGGAGGGGCAAGTAATATATCTAAAGAGAAAAGTAATATATCTAGAGGGACAAGTGATATATCTGGAGGGGCAAGTAATATATCTAGAGGGACAAGTAATATATCTGGAAGGGCAAGTAATATATCTGGAGGGACAAGTAATATATCTAGAGGGACAAGTAATATATCTGGAGGGACAAGTAATATATCTGGATGGGCAATGGTCTATGGTTTTTGATTGCAGTAATGGAATTGGTCGGTTGCATTGCCCCCCTTAAGTCACAGGCCTGTTTGAACTTGACGGAGATCTTGGTTCTGCTAAGTTCCATAAAGATCAGGCAAAAACTAAACTCCAACGTGTCTACTAAGCAAAGGGCAATAACTCCAAAACAGTTGAGCCAATAATTGCCAAATTCTAACATTCATGTGTTCCCTCCGAGAATAGGAAAGGAATCTATCTGTTTTATCTTACTCTTGTTGATAACTATCACACTAGCTACAGGAGGCCAAGTGATAGTCTAAAGAGTTTTGGAATATCTTCACACAAAACCATCTTCATAATGTCATGCTATAACGAACTTTATCTTATACCTTGACTACTATAGCCATAGTGTGTGGTTGAAATTGAAAATTGGACTTCTTCCATAAAATGTAAACCAAAATTTTGTTTAAAGCAGCATTTTTAATAATGTATATTATTCGCAATCACACATTTTAACAGAATTTGGGAAAAGCATTTCCCTTTTTCCTAGCCATTTACCGATTAAAAATTTTCATATATCCTTCAATACATAATTTAAAGAGATTTTCTAAATTTTGTATGTGTATCAGGGACACTGATAGCATCAATTTACATCATTCTAATTTTCAATCAGACGTCTTTACAATTGATGCTATCAGTGTCCCTGATACACATAAAAAATTTAGAAAACCTCTTTACAATCTCTTTAAGCACTTCAAAAATAACATACATACATTCAAAAAACTTTTGAATTAAAAAAAATGAAAAATCACAAAAACCTAGATTTACAATAAATTTATGGAATTTAAAATTCAAAAAAATGAAAAATTATAGAAATATAAGAATATATTCATAAATAAAGTAGCTAGCCATTTGAGCTTTTTTTGGCAAATTCAGAAAATATAATAATTTTGACAACAGCCTAGCTGCACTAATCTTTGAGGAGGGGTTGTAGCCCATATGGTTAGAGAGTTGGAATCTTGACATCATTTGCTTGATTACAACAAATGATGGTTGTGGGTCTAATTTCAGTCAGCATGTGAAGTTAGAAAAGTCATCTTTCCTCATTATTCCAGTCGACCCAGCTGTAAATGGGTACAGATAATCCAAGAAAGATCAATACCAAGAGGTTTGGCCAAGGACCAGCTGGTAGAAAGGATCCTTGTGAACCTAAGTTGTTATCCTTGTAAAATCAATACCAAGAGGTTTGATCAAGAACCAGCTGGTAGAAAGGATCCTCGTGAACCTAAGTTGTTATCCTTGTAAAATCAATACCAAGAGGTTTGACCAAGGATCAGCTGGTAGAAAGGATCCTTGTGAACCTAAGTTATTATCCTTGTAAAATCATTACCAAGAGGTTTGGTCAAGGACCAGCTGGTAGAAAGGATCCTTGTGAATCTAAGTTGTTATCCTTGTAAAATCAATACCAAGAGGTTCAGCTGGTAGAAAGGATCCTTGTAAACCTAGGTTGTTATCCTTGCAAAAACAATACCAAGAGGTTTGGTCAAGAACCAGCTGGTAGAAAGGATCCTTGTAAACCTAAGTTACTATTCTTGTAAAATCATTACCAAGAGGTTTGATCAAGGACCAGCTGGTAGAAAGGATCCTCGTGAACCTAAGTTGTTATCCTTGTAAAATCAATACCAAGAGGTTTGATCAAGGACCAGCTGGTAGAAAGGATCCTTGTGAACCTAAGTTGTTATCCTTGTAAAATCATTACCAAGAGGTTTGACCAAGGACCAGCTGGTAGAAAGGATCCTGGTGAACCTAAGTTGTTATCCTTGTAAAATCAATACCAAGAGGTTCGGTCAAGGACCAGCTGGTAGAAAGGATCCTGGTGAACCTAAGTTGTTATCCTTGTAAAATCATTCAAATGAAATAACTGATAATTGACAAAAAAGATTACAAAATTTAAAAAAAAAAGTTACATGATCAAGATCTAGCAAAAGTACAATTCAAAACATCAAAACAAGCAGTTATTTTTATACGTATGAATATACAAAACCAAAAACCTAGCGAAGATTTCATTGGTCATTTGATAGGCCTACACATGACCTGATATGTAAATTTGGAGATTCAAAAAGACCCGCAATAGAATCTTATTCACACGACGGCCATATTGAATCCAGAATGAGGCTCTTAACGCAAACAAACAAAAGTAACGTGATGTCACTGCAGTAAAATGGCCACCTTGACGTCTTTATAGCCTTCTCCTCGAATCCCACTAACTCGAAACTAATCATATTTGACATCATTAAAATCAGAATTGATTAAGCTATTTAATGATACTTTCAAATGAATTTTACCAACACACATTTCTGAGAGACGGCAGGTTTACTCCCATTTTCTTGTTGTTGATCGAGTGTTTAATGACGTCAAATTGGCTATTCGTTTATACCACGTCGCCATCTTATAATTTGCGCTACGACCCCGCTTTCAGTATCTTAAAGATAGTGAACCACAGCCATATACGCCCACCACAGCATGCAGATGGTAAATATTCAAGATTTTGGGGCAAGGGCAATAACTCTGCTTCTAATGGTCGAAAATAGCTCAAATTCGAACTTGATCTTCGTTTTATGAATATGTATACACATACCGAATTTCATTTGATTCCATCAAAAAATCTAGTTTTTAGAGCAAATGTTGACGAACGGACCGACCGACGGACGGACAGGGGTGCCGACAATATACGTCCACATAGAGAGATGTGGGCGTATAAAAACAAGGCGTGAACAAATTCTAAATATCATGATTCATAAAAATTCTAAATATCATGATTCATAAAAATTTTGGTAAATGAGCACTATACAATAAACTTAAATAACAACATCTCCACAACGTCAAGTCTCAAGTCAAGTCCAATAAGTTACCAGGCATTTTACAAACTCTGTCTAATACCTTGACACTTAGGCACAGTTTTGAATAGCTTGACATTTTGAAGATGTTAGTTAGGGGGTGCTTCAACTTTCGAAAAAGAGAAAAAATGTCTAATGAAGTCAAGGTATTAGACAAAGTTTGTAAAACTTCCATGATACAAGAAAAGTGTCTATTGATGTCAAGGTATTAGATATAGGTTGTTATATCTTGCCTTCTGACACATATTATGGAGCAAAAACATTTTTGAATTTATTAGAAATAAAACTCCCCCCTGTATCCCCTCACTGAGCTTGACCTTGTGAAGATGAAAAGTGTCTAATAATGTCAAGGTGTAAGAGCTTATTCTTGTTTTATCAGTTGTTGTTTCCACATATCAGCATAGTGTCCATCTTCACTCAACAATTCCTCGTGTCTAAAATTACAAAACAAAACCATAATCAACATACAATAATAAACTAAGGCTGCGATTACATGTCAATGCAAACTCCAACTTAAACGCAAACTCAAAGATAGTGGACCACAGCCATATACGCCCACCACGACATGCAGATGGTAAATGTTCAAGATTTTGGGGCAAGGGCAATAACTCTGTTTCTAATGGTCGAAAATAGCTCAAACTTGATCTTCGTTTTATGAATATGAATACACATACCGAATTTCATTTGATTCCATCAAAAAATCTAGTTTTTAGAGCGTTTACAAGCAAATGTTGACGGACGGACTGACGAACGGACAGGGGTGCCGATAATGTACGTCCACATAGAGAGATGTGGCATATAATAAAACCGGACCAGAGCAAATCCGATCCAAAAACCAAAATGACAAAGTTACGTAAGTTTGTGGCGTGATCAATTGCGTTTACACACCAATAATGTTAGTGAGACCAACGTTTAATTCTTATATTTATATTCAGATACTTTTATTAATACAATTTTCACTGTTTTATATGATCAGTTATTTGAATTTACCACAAATCTTAGATTACGTCATTGTTGTGTTTTGATGATGTCATAGTATCACGTGATAAACTACAGTTTATAGAAAAATAAACACCAGTTTGTGTAACTTGTTCATTGAAGGGAGTGATAGTAGAAATGGAAATAAATTAACTTACGTTCCCCGTTCAATAATTTCACCTTCGTTGACGACTAGAATTAAATCAGCATGTATAATCGTAGACAATCTATGTGCCACGATGATCGTAGATTTATTTTGACAGATTCTTGACAATGATGATTGGATATTTCGTTCCGTTTTGGTATCCAATGCTGACGTAGCCTAAAAAAGTGAAAAAATATGAAAAATCAAAATTTGACTGTTTTTTTTAAAGGTGACACCCCATTTAGAAAATATGCTTACTAAAATTTTGCTGTAGTTTTGCTTATTACTGTATTGGATTGTCGTCTGCTAGGCGATTAGGTGCCATGGGTTCGAATCCATGGGTTCGGTAAGAACAATTCTTATGCCTGTGCCAGTGCTTCTGGGAGTCAGTCCAGTGTCGGCGGAACCCCACCATCACATATTTACTTCTGATGGGCGATTAGGTGCCGTGGGTTTGAATCCTTCTCAAGGTAAGAACAATTCTTATGCCTGTGCCTGTGCTTCTAGGAGTCAGTCCAGTGTCGGCCGAACCCCACCATCACATATTTACTTCTGATGGGTGATTAGGTGCCGTGGGTTTGAATCCTCCTCAAGGTAAGAAAAATTCTTATGCCTGTGCCAGTGCTTTCGAGAGTAAGCCTAGTGTTGGCTCTCGCCCTTTAATACCTAACCCTTATCCTCCTCAAGGTAAAAACAATTCTGATGCCTGTGCCAGTGCTTTAGCGAGTTGGTCCAGTGATGGCTTTCACCTCTTAATACCTACGCCTTTTTTTCTCATTCTAACTAAGAGGTAGTATACCTTTAAAAACATACCTCATCAAGCAATACTATGGACGGTGCCTTTAATATAGTTCTCGCTATCGCAGTTCTCTGTTTCTCTCCACCACTTAATTTTAAACCTCTTTCACCGACGACGGTATCATAACCTACAAAATATTCAAATTATTTCATATTTATATGAACGTTCAGGAAGTTTGGTCAAGGACCAGCTGGTAGAAAGGACCCCATATATCAAGAAGTTTGACCAAGGACCAGCTGGTAGAAAGGACCCCATATATCAAGAGGTTTGACCAAGGACCAGCTGGTAGAATGGACCCCATATATCAAGAGGTTTGGCCAAGGACCAGCTGGTAGAAAGGACCCCATATTTCAAGAGGTTTGACCAAGGACCAGCTGGTAGAAAGGACCCCATATATCAAGAGGTTTGACCAAGGACCAGCTGGTAGAAAGGACCCCATATATCAAGAGGTTTGGCCAAGGACCAGCTGGTAGAAAGGACCCCATATATCAAGAGGTTTGGCCAAGAACCAGCTGGTAGAAAGGACCCCATATATCAAGAGGTTTGACCAAGGACCAGCTGGTAGAAAGGACCCCATATATCAAGAGGTCTGGCCAAGGACCAGCTGGTAGAAAGGATCCCATATATCAAGAGGTTTGGCCAAGGACCAGCTGGTAAAAAGGACCCTATATATCAAGAGGTTTGACCAAGGACCAGCTGGTAGAACGACTAGACGCTTTTTCCATGTCAGCCCCTCTTACCTGTATCACTGACAAGGGGAAACTGGGTTGAAAAATCTGAAGGTATTATCTCGACCTATGCTAGGATTGAACCCTGGACCTTCAGGTTAGCGAACTAGTGTGTAACTCACTGACAGGGGAAACTGGGTTGAACAATCTGAAGGTATTATCTCAACCTATGCTGGGATTGAACCCTGGACCTTCAGGTTAGCAAGCAAGTATCTAACTCACTTACAGAGGGAAACCAGGTTGAAAAATCTGAAGGTATTATCTTGACCTATGCTGGGATTGAACCCTGGACCTTCAGGTTAGCGAGCAAGTGTCTAACTCACTGACAGGGGGAAACTAGGTTGAACAATCTGAAGGTATTATCTCAACCTAAGCTGGGATTAATCCCTGAAACTTTAACTCACTGAGCCACCGTGGCTCCTTTACCTTTAGGAAAAGCCAGAATTCGGTGATGGATATCTGCAGCAGTTGCGGCCTCATAAACTTCACCGTCCATAGCAGTTACTCGTCCGTAACGAATATTATATCTTAAAAAAATATAATAATAAGTTAACTTATATATAGTGGTAATGAAATGAAATGAATGGAGTTTTACGTCCTACTTTTCTGCACCATGTGGGCTAATGAAGACTGGCAACGCCACGCAGGGTGCATTGAGGGAAATTTCACCAGGACAGCGGCATTAGCCTGCTCTTTTTCAATTTCCAACTGTCGAGGGATCTTTAACATTTTGTGAGTTCTGCACTTTCAGAATTCAGAATTCTGATTCCATGAATGCAGACGTGCCAAATTGACCAATCGAGCGCCTCCTATGTTAGCGACCAGGTATACTTACCTAATATCATTGTTAAATAAAACAGTATCTTGTGGAACTACCCCAATAACACTTCTTAAAGACTCCTGAGTTACCTGAAACAATAGCAGGAACCATTTTCAAAACTTTATTCAAAGACATCCATTCTGAACGACTCAACGTTTTTTCCATGTCAGCCCCTCTTACCTACATCACTGACAGGGGGAAACCAGTTTGAAAAATCTGAAGCCTACTTTAGTTCGATTTTTCAGATAGCCTGTAGCACATAGGACCTCGGTTTATTGTCCCATGCGAACGACTAGATGCTTTTTCCATGTCAGTCCCTCTTACCTGCATCACTGACAGGGGAAAACTGGGTTGAAAAATCTGAAGCCTACTCTATTTCAATTTTTCAGATAGTCTGTAGCACACAGGACCACGGTTTATTGTCTCATCTGAACGACTAGACACTTTTTCATGTCAGCCTCTCTTACCTACATCACTGACAGGGGGAAACTGGGTTGAAAAATCTGAAGCCTACTTTAGTTCGATTTTTAAGATAGCCTGTAGCACATAGGACCTCGGTTTATTGTCTCATCTGAACAAATAGACACTTTTTCCATGTCAGTCCCTCTTACCTACATCACTGACAGGGGGAAACTGGGTTGAAAAATCTGAAGCCTACTCTATTTCAATTTTTCAGATAGTCTGTAGCACACAGGACCACGGTTTATTGTCCCATCTGAACGACTAGACACTTTTTCATGTCAGCCTCTCTTACCTACATCACTGACAGGGGAAAACTGGGTTGAAAAATCTGAAGGTATTATCTTGACCTATGCCAGGATTAAACCCTTGACCTTCAGGTTAGCAAGCAAGCATCTAACTCACTGAGCCACCGCGATTCCCAAGTTTTGTGAAAAAAATCCTACTTTTCTGTACTTAATTAGACTAATGAAGACAGGCAACACCATGCAGTGTTCAATGAGGGAAATTTTACCAGGACAGTGACATTAGCCTACTCTTTTTTGATTTCCAACTGTCAAGGGATCTTTAACATGCACAGCCTGTAGCATGCAAGGAGATTTACGTCCTACTTTTCTGCACCATGTGGGCTAATGAAGACAAGCAACACCATGCAGTGTACAATGATAGACAGTAGATACAGATGTACATGGTGTTTGAAATGAATGGAGTTTTACATCCTGCGCCTAATTGGGCTAATGAAGACAGGCAATGCCATGCAGTGTGAAATGAGGGAAAATTACCTTAGATATATCTTGATCATCTATAGTGATAGTTCCAGTCTCAATATCATAAAATCTAAATAACAGTCGAACAATGGTGCTTTTACCACTTCCAGTATGACCCACCTGAAAAATAGAATTCACTGTCATTTAGCCACAATTATATGGGCACAGTACTTTAGGCACTTTGTCAGTTAGGCACTTTGTCAGTTAGGCACTTGGTCAATTTGGCACTTTGTCAGTTAGGCACTGTGTCAATTTGGCACTCTGTCAGTTAGGCACTTGGTCAATTTGGCACTTTGTCAGTTAGGCACTTGGTCAATTTGGCACTTTGTCAGTTAGGCACTGTGTCAATTTGGCACTTTGTCAGTTAGGCACTTGGTCAATTAGGCACTTTGTCAGTCAGGCACTTGGTCAATTTGGCACTTTTTCAGTCAGGCACTGAGTCAATTTGGCACTTTGTCAGTTAGGCACTATGTCAATTTGGCACTTTGCCAGTTAGGCACTGTGTCAATTTGGCACTTGTCAGTTAGGCACTTGGTCAATTTGGCATCATATTGACAACATTAAGGGACCAATTCATATTTCAAGTTTAGAAATGGCTTTAAATATGATTTGAAGGTTTTGTTGAAATATTATAGACTCTATAAAAATACGATATCGTGGGTGATTGCTTGAAACCTTATATACTATATACCATATTTGGTCATTTTGACATTTTTGACTTTTTGAACCCTCGTAAAAACGCGGATCCTGTGATCAAAACCTCGTATTCTTAGTTTGATTGTAAATAACCCAAAAACCACTAATTAAATAACACGTATATAAACAGTCAGATTTAAAACCTTGTAAAATATATTATTATACGAGGTTCAATGTTCCTTTTTCTGCGGATGAAAATGAAAAACCTCGTATACTGTATTATTATACGAGTTATTGGTTCAATAGGCCGGAGATTTCAAATTGTTATACGAGGTTTATATTTCCAAGAATGAAAACCACGTATAGCGGTAAAAAAAATAATAAAAAAGATTTTAACAAAAGACGTGTACCAATAGTTTTTTGCGTTTTTCTCCAAAAGTAATTCCGCGTCAATTATATATATATTAGGTGGAGGAACTAACTAAGTTAGTGTGTGTGATTTCCTAGTAAGAAACATACATAGTTTTATATGATTAAAAAACTTACCAAAGCCAATGTCTGTCCAGGATTGACTGTGAATGAAATATTCTTTAATATCGCTTTTCTGTAAAATAAACCAAATTACATTAATACACAATTTAATACTATTTACAACATAAAGATTTTAACTTGCGACTTGAGTGAAAACATCAAAAACTTTACTAAATATCAAAAAAAAGATAAGCTCAAAATAAGATTTCACTGAAACTTCTCGACGCAGAAACCATACTAAATAACGTCTTTCACGGCAAATAAATGAACTTTGAAATTGGTAATAGTTACATGATTAAATAGTACAGTAAAATAACTTCAAATTCAGACAAAATCAACAAACAAATATCATTTTGAAGATTAAAATTGGTAAAAATTTAATCAAATCTTACTTACTCTGGTTCATATCTAAACGTTACATTATCAAATTGTATTTTACCACCTTTCATCTGTAAAACACCCGCGTTCATTTTATCTTTTACCTAAAAAAAAACCATCAAAATATAAAATGTCACTTTTTCATTGAAAATAGTATTAAAATCTTCTAATTTTCAAATATTAAACGAGTTAATGGGTACAGTGGAGAAAATGTAACTTTGACATATAATCGATTATGAAATTTGATAATCTATGATCGAAATTATAAATTCCTAGCGATGATAATCGATTATTTCAATTATTTTACCATGGGTCGTGGGTTATTTTTTTCTTTAATTTTGTAGTCCAGTCATACCATCATTTTCTCCCTACACCATTTATGTCACGTCTCTGGTTCCATCAAAGTTTTTTTTTAACGAAACTGATCTAGTATCAGCCATTTAGAACTGCGTGTGCAACCAAAAGTTCAAAGGCCACAGAGTTATGTGATTCTAACAAAACGAAAATTACGGTGATGCTCGACATTGATTCCATCATTGTAAATGTAATGTTAGAAAAAATCCATCTTCGCAGGTGTGGAAAATCCCCTTTTAACAGGACCTTTTTTTGCTGACTCTACTCCAGCCCACAACTGTCAAAATCTCTATCAGAATTAAACTTACCTCAGCATTTTCATCCAATAGATCGAACATATTTTCCATATCTATAAACGCTGTTTGGATCATTCTAAAATACAGGTGATATCCCAATTAGAAACAAACTATTTTTTCATATATCAAGGGCAGTAACTCCAGAAATATTTGTTAAATTGTACCCAAATTCAAGATTTTGTGCATGGACATTACAATGTGGGCTCTATTGCATTCACAAGCCACTATCAACATATATTCTGAATATCAAGGGCTGTAACTCTGTAAATTTCTGTCAGATAGTGGTCACACTCAATCCCATCCAACAAAACAAAGCTACACCCCACACTTTACAAGCCCCTTTTCAACATATTTTCAGTATATCAAGGGCTATAACTCAGTAAATTTTTATCAGATAGTGGTCACACTACGCGGTTTTATACAGTGTATAGAGGTTTTTTCTGTTTATACATCGATAAACTGCATAAATGTTCAGATCATTCCTTAAATACAACGGTGGTTTCACGTTCACTAGTCCCTTTTCAACATATTTTCAGTTCACAAGGGCTATAACTCAGTAATGACTAGTAAATCTAAAACTCAAGGGATTACCTGTAATATGTCCCTAGCCAGTTCAACGGTACATATAACTGAGAGATGTAGGTACCAAATAAAACATAATCTCCAACTGTTAGGTGTAGATCTTGTATACCATGTACGACGGCCCAGGCTGCTAGCATACATCCAACTAAATATCCACCAGAAATAACCAAGTTCTGTACGAAGTTCAACAGATTTAAACTGGCGGTGGAATTCCATTCTGCTTCCTGAAATAGATTTGCATATTTTCATAGACTTAAAGGGACAGGTGCACCCTTTTTTTGACCAATCGTACTTTAGTCTCAGAAACAGGAATTTTTTTAGCTAAGCTAATCAGTAATAGTGTTCACAGCTCACCGTCGAAATTTGAACCTTCAAATCCATGTGTGTCAGAATTATCTACGTTTGAAAGTTAATAAGACGACTCGTCTTTTCTTGAGACACTGCCATATATAGAAAAGACATCTATAGAAATAGAAAGTAAAATTCCTAGTTTGTGATATTTTTAAAGGAATTATGTGATTTTGGTACATTTCTAGTATTTCTGAAGACATTATATATATATTTACATATATTCAACACTCAAATCAACTCCCAAAAACGACAAATCTGTCCCTTTAATGTCACCCAAGATTAGAACCCTCGACCATTATTATTTTTTTATAAAGTTGTAAAGTACCTGATATAGTTTTATAGCTTCATCGTATCTATTTCTTTCAAAATCTGACGTACCATAATATTTTACCTAAAAATACATAAAATTCAACAATTTCAAAATCAAATTAAATTTGTCACAAGTAATGATTTGAGAAAATATAAACCATAGATGACGTCACCTTTGCCAAGGTTCTTAGATATTTTAACCAGCATTTAAGATAATGACGTCATCAAACACTTAGTTTTAGAGAAATTGCAGGAACCACAGACGTCTGATTGAAAATTAGAATGATGTAAATTGATGCTATCAGTGTCCCTGATACACATACAAAATATAGAAAACCTCTTAATAATCTCTTTAACAAGAACCACAGACGTCTGATTGAAAATTAGAATGATGTAAATTGATGCTATCAGTGTCTCTTTAACAAGAACCACAGACGTCTGATTGAAAATTAGAATGATGTAAATTGATGCTATCAGTGTCTCTGATACACATAACAAATGTAGAAAACCTCTTTACAATCTCTTTCATTTTCAGTTTAACTTCAGTTTTAGTATAATTAAAGGAACCACTAACATCTGACTGTAAATTGATGCTATCAGTGTCCCCAATACATGCAAAAACAAATTTAGAAAACGTCTTTATAATTCTGTTTTGTTCAGACAGTGACCCAAGAGTTAGAAAGGGTGAGCACTATATTTATAATTATATGTTAAAACATACTGTTTCAAAGTTGATCAAAGAATCCACGGCCGTCGTATTACAAGCGTTATCCAGTTTATTCATCTCTCTTCTATATTTAGTTCTCCATTCTGTTATCATTATAGTTAATGCTGAAATAAAAATCAAGGGAAATAACTCAAAACTTGCTCATAAAAAAATTATGAAAATCAAACTCATCTAAAATGAATTGAAATGAAGTTTTTAGTCCTAATTTTCTGCACCTGCTAATGAAAACAGGCAATGCCATGCAGTGTACAATGAGGGAAATTTTACCAGGACAGTAGCATTAGCCTATTCTGTTTTTGGGACTTTCGATTGTGAGGGAATTTGAAGTCTGTAGCACACGGGGTTTCTGTTTAATGTCCAATCTGAATGACTAGACACTTTTTCTTTCACTGACCTAATCAACTTTTCATCCAATCAGCATTGGCTAAAGTTTGTATTAAGTGGCTCACTTGATGGTTAAGAATTTCACAATTACATGACATTTTGACTGACAGCTACCAAAGTAAGTTAGATCATGCTAAGTAAACTTAAAGAAGCAATCCGCCTTTTTTGGAAAGTCGAAATTTTTTTTTTCTCAAATTTGTGAAAGCTATACTCACGACATTTTTGATCATGAAATTTTTTTTACAAAAAATATGCAAAATACTTTTGCTTTGTTCCATTCTTAACCGTGAAAATTTGACAAAAGAATTGAAAAATGAGACTTACCTAAATATACACCCATACATAAAAAGACGACTAAACCAAAAATATAATTAAAAGCTGTGATAAAATACACGATAGCTACCACGATATCAACTATTGTTGGTAAAATATTAAACACTACATAACTGAAATTAAACATTTTAATAGTTATATTGTGGTCTGAATTAATCCTTTCTTAACAAGAGTTATTTCCCTTGCTATATAACTGAAATTAAACATTTTAATAGTTATATTGTGGTCTGAATTAATCCCTTGTTAACACGAGTTATTTCCCTTGCTATATAACTGAAATCAAACATTTTAATAGTTATATTGTGGTCTGAATTAATCTCTTGTTAAAAAGAGTTATTTCCCTTGCTATATAAGTGAAATTAAACATTTTAATAGTTATATTGTGGTCTGAATTAATCTCTTGTTAACAAGAATTACTTTCCTTGCTATGTAACAGAAATTAAACATTTTAATAGTTATATTGTGGTCTGAATTAATCTCTTGTTAACACGAGTTATTTCCCTTGCTATATAACTGAAATCAAACATTTTAATAGTTATATTGTGGTCTGAATTAATCCCTTAACAAGAGTTATTTCCCTTGCTATATAACTGAAATCAAACATTTTAATAGTTATATTGTGGTCTGAATTAATCCCTTGTTAACAAGAGTTATTTCCCTTGCTATATAACTGAAATTAAACATTTTCTTTACCTGACAAGATTATTATTATCTTAGCTACCCCCCTTCCCTCCACCCCCCTGGATACAACTGAGCGTAGGAACTAGAGATAAGGGGAGATAACTTACCTCAGAAGATTATTATTATCCTAGCTACCCCCCTCCCCCCACCCCTGTGGAGTACAACTGAGCGTAGGAACTAGAGATAAGGGGAGATAACTTACCTGAGAAGATTATTAATACTGTTAGTTCCTCCACCCCCCTGGATACAACTGAGCGTTGGAACTAGAGATAAGGGGAGATAACTTACCTGAGAAGATTATTAATACTGTTAGTTCCTCCACCCCCCTGGATACAACTGAGCGTTGGAACTAGAGATAAGGGGAGATAACTTACCTGAGAAGATTATTAATACTGTTAGTTCCTCCACCCCCTTGGATACAACTGAGCGTAGGAACTAGAGATAAGGGGAGATAACTTACCTGAGAAGATTATTAATAGTTAGTTCCTCCACCCCCCTGGATACAACTGAGCGTTGGAACTAGAGATAAGGGGAGATAACTTACCTGAGAAGATTATTATTATCCTAGCTACCCCCCTCCCCCCACCCCCGTGGAGTACAACTGAGCGTAGGAACTAGAGATAAGGGGAGATAACTTACCTGAGAAGATTATTAATACTGTTAGTTCCTCTATCAACAACTCTCAAAACTTCCCCTGTTTTTCTTTCAAGATGCCAACGTAAAGATAATCTGAAAAAAAAATAAGCGGAAACCATTTTATTTCATCTCATCAGTATAGAAATGCAAAATTTTGTCAAAATCAGGAAAAAACTGTAGTCTCTTTACGTTATTCTCAGCTCTATGACGATTTTTTTGCGTCTGTACCAATCACCAGCCAATTTTTTTTAATATATCTTTGCCGGTTATTTACGCCCGCGAATCCATTCACTGGTTTACACATGCATGTCATAATTTATCGAAAAATTTATATGTTTAAACCAATCGGAAGCTATGTTGATATCATGTGATGTACAAAATGGCTTCCTCTGCCATTTTCTACCGATCACATGAATGACGAAAAAATTGAGCCGTATGACATCCACTCTTAAATATTTGCTACATGTGCCGCTTCTAGATTTTACGTAAAAATTTGCAAGTGATTATAATCGATATGATCGAGCGAAAAAAAATAGGCTCATCTGCCTGAAAATATTTTAACTTACGAATGAAGATGAGAAAATAGTTTTAGTTCTATATGTCTAGTCGTATGTTGTTGAACTCGTATCCATAACAACGACCTCATATTATTTATCAGACCTGTAGCACCTATCAAAACAGAACATAGGAATGAGTAAGCAATAAATATAACCAAATTAACTAAGTGGACTCTTCAAAAGGAATGACTGAGCTCAAGAAGACAGGCAATACCATGCAGTGTGCAATGAGGGAAATTTTACCAGGGCATATATATTTCTATTACCAACTGTCGAGGGATCTTTAACGCGCACAGCATGTAGCACACAGGGCCTCGGTTTATTGTCCAATCTTAACGATTAGACATTTTTTCGATTTCCAACTGTCGAGGGATCTTTAACATGTACAGTCTGTAGCACACGAGACCTCGGTTTATTGTCTCATCTGAACAACTAGACACTTTTTCCATGTCAGCCCCTCTTATCTACATCACTGACAGGGGGAAACCAGGCTGAAAAGTCCCCAGAGTTCAGACTGCAGAGATGGTCGTTCGCGAGAAAAAGGTTATTTTGTAAGAAAAGCGAACGTACCTGATCCACCACCCTTTAAGAATAATAAAAGTACATATATTAAGATAAGGTCATATCGGAACTGTAGGGGAGTATCTTTATTACTGAATTTATCTGGACTAGAAGTTAAACTGTTTACTGAAAAATAAAACAGCACATAAATAAACCAAGTACTAATGATCCGAACTGCAAAACAAAACACCAAATCCAAACATCATATTGGCAAAAAATTGGTAGCAGCTAATATATATAAAAAAAAAACAAGATTATCAGTCTAAGAAAAATTAGACTTTCGTTCTGTTTTTTTATAAGCTATTATTTTAATATAGCCACTTCAGTCAGGGTCTAACAACAGCCCTCTTCTCAACAGCCTTTTGACCTAGACTGATGACAGGATCACAGCTTCGGAGAGGACAGAAATATCTTTAAACAATTGGTTGCCCAGTTACATACGCCTACTTGCCTGATAAATTTTCAGTATATCAAGGTCAGTCACCAATTTGTGAAAAGCGTAGTCTCTATTGTGTTCACAAACAAATTTTAACAAGTCAAGGGCAATAACTCAAAAACCATTTATCGGAAAATTGTCAAAATTTAAATCAAAATTAAAACTATAGTCTCTATTGTGTTCACAAACAAATTTTAACAAGTCAAGGGCAATAACTCAAAAACCATTTATCGGAAAATTGTCAAAATTTAAATCAAAATTAAAACTATAGTCTCTATTGTGTTCACAAACAAGTTTTGACGCGTCTTTCCTAAGTCAAGGGCAATAACTCAAAGACCGTTCATCGAAAGATAGCCAAGTTCCTCTACAGTGTTCCATTGTGGACAGACGGACAGACGGAAAGGGGTGACTTACTGATATATTTGCTGTAAATGGGAAAAAGAACGTTGATGGCTCGGCCGGCTGCCAGAAAAACAACACAGATACCAACAATTATTTGAAGTTTAGTATAACCTTTCGGCCAGACGTAGGGTAACATCATTTTTAATTTAACGTAGACATTACTCCATGTAGAATCATTAGCGCTACTCGATGAACCAACAGCCTAAAATAAATATAAGAAAATATAACAGATGGCAAACCGAAAGTATATACACACAAAATGGCTGGTTAAAATAATTGAAATAATTGATTATCCTCGCTAGGAATTTATAATTTCGATTATCGATTATCAAATTTCATAATCGATTATATGTCAAAGTTACATTTTCTCCACTGTACCCGTTAACAAGTAGTAATCTCTTCTACATAGTTTCCCTTCAACGCATAACATACCCACAATAAACTATAATAACTGATCAAAACAAGAATATACTTCTATAACACATATCATACCCACAATAAACTATAATAACTGATCAAAACAAGAATATACTTCTATAACACATAACATACCCACAATAAACTATAATAACTGATCAAAACAAGAATATACTTCTATAACACATAACATACCCACAATAAACTATAACAACTGATCAAAACAAGAATATACTTCTATAACACATAACATACCCACAATAAACTATAATAACTGATCAAAACAAGAATATACTTCTATAACACATAACATACCCACAATAAACTATAACAACTGATCAAAACAAGAATATACTTCTATAACACATAACATACCCACAATAAACTATAATAACTGATCAAAACAAGAATATACTTCTATAACACATATCATACCCACAATAAACTATAATAACTGATCAAAACAAGAATATACTTCTATAACACATAACATACCCACAATAAACTATAACAACTGATCAAAACAAGAATATACTTCTATAACACATAACATACCCACAATAAACTATAATAACTGATCAAAACAAGAATATACTTCTATAACACATAACATACCCACAATAAACTATAACAACTGATCAAAACAAGAATACCCATTAAGATAAAGAATTTTGACAAGTTTTTAATTTAGTATTTACAGGGTTTAACAATTAATCTATTATTGATCTGTAGTCTGCCATCGATAATCTGTTAAGTTTTTTAACATTCTAGAGATATACTTGAAGTCCAACGGAAGCTATTTTCAATCTGACATTTTAGACAGACAAACGGACACGACCGGCAAATATGGCAACATTATTAGGAAATATACTGTAGTGTGCAATGAAGGAAATTTTAAAAAGACTATCACAAATGCCTGTTCCTTTCTCGGTGTCCCATCTGAACGATTAGATTCTTTTTCGATTTCCAACTGTCGAGGACTCTTTAACGTGTACAGCCTGTAGTACACAAGGCCTCGGTTTATCGTCTAATCTGAACGACTAGATGCTTTTTCTATTTCCAACTGTCGAGGGATCTTTAACATGTACAGCCTGTAGCACACAGGGCCTCAGTTTATTGTCCCATCTGAACAACTAGACACTTTTTCTATGTTAGCCTCTCTTACCTACATCACTGATAGGGCCCAGGTGGAAACTAGGTTGAAAAACACAAAGCTTTCAAATCACTGAGTAGCCACAGCTAAAGGTTGATAAATTATAAACGATGCTGACCTCATTCGAGTTGATTTTAAAATGTTGTGTCTGGTAGTTCAAGGCAGGAGCTCTGATTCCAAGTACAAAAACTACCAACGTACATGTATATCTGATTATCCAAAAACTGAATTCCACTTTATCTTGTGTACTAGAAAATATAATCATAATTTTAGAAATATTAAAACAGAAACTGAAACATGTTGTTAGTTTGTAGCCATTTTAAGAACGACGCCAGGAATGAATTCGTGTGTGTTATTTTTAACGGTCCCGACGCCAGGAATGAATTGGTGCTGGGGCTCAGATTTTATACTCAGAAAATTTGAAGAATTAAAGGCCCCGAGAACTCATTTCTGACAATTTTGAGCTGCCAAAAACTATCAAAATCTATATCTTTTTGATTTTGTACAAAGACACTGTAAATTAATCAATCTCTGCTGAACTGAAGAAGGTTTTGCTGGGGCTTAATTTTCACTTGCTGGGGTCCAGCCCCCACGGACCCCACCCCAAGGACGGGGCTGATCACATTACCTTTTAAGTTTCCACCACCATTGATCACTCCACCATGATACGATACACAAATTCTCCTTTATGAACGCCAGGCCCCAGAAACACAGTAAAACTAAACCATGACTTCGTGTAGGCAGAGACGGCAAGAGATGAGTTCGTTCCAGATTCATCAAACTCAACGACAAACACCACGCAATTATCAAGCACACACCCGTCTGCACCTGATATCCCAACACACGTTGATTCTTATACAGATTATCCTGCATTATAACGTGTATCAAAGCTTCAAATATCAAGGTCACAATGATGGCTTTATGAAGACCATAACACCACGTACTCTGCGTTGATTTGATTTCCACTTTCGTTGCGTAGCGTTTATAAATCAGACGTTGTAGAATGTAGCTGAAGAATATCAGAAATAATAAAAGACCGCTTGTAAAAGACTCAAAGAAACAAATGTTGATTCCTTTATTCTGCCAAACTGCAGTCCAGTCAGTGTTGTTACCACAGAACAGCATCTTTTTTGATTATTGTATACCACTAAGAATTATCCCTGAAACATATGAAACAAAAGTTTACTATTAAACACCATGGTTTGCTATTTTCAGGGGTTGATTTGAGTCTTGAATATATGTAAATAGTCTTCAGAAATACTAGAAATGTACCAAAATCACATAATTCCTTCAAAAATACAACGATACACTATACATGGTCCTTGGCTTGGTTGATTTGAGTCTTGAATATATGTAAATAGTCTTCAGAAATACTAGAAATGTACGAAAATCACATAATTCCTTTAAAAATACAACAATACACTATACATGGTCCTTGGCTTGGTTGATTTGAGTCTTGAATATATGTAAATAGTCTTCAGAAGTACTAGAAATGTACGAAATAATTCCTTCAAAAATATCTCAAACTAGGAATTTCTTTAGATGTCATTTCTATATATGGCAGTGTCTCAAGAAAAGATGACAGTCATTTCAACTTTCAACACACATGGATTTGAAGGCTCAAATTTCGACAGTGAGCTGTTAACACTATTACTGATTAGCTTAGCTAAAAAATTCCTGTTTCGGAGACTAAAATATGATTGGTCTAACGGATTGACTACACCTCACCTCTTGCTACAGACACACGTTTCTGATACACAATCCTCATCAGGACAGCTAGTTTTATAAATGGACGTTAACTTTCTAATATAGGACAAAATGTTATCCCAAAGATTAAAGCTTATCTCAAAATGTCGGCCACGTTTCTGATACACAATCTTTATCAGGACAGCTAGTTTTAGAAAAAAAAAAACATTTTACATTTTTAGATTGACTCAAGGTCATCTCATACTGCTGGCATGTTTCTGATAAACAATCCTCATCAGGACAGCTAGTTTTACTTGGGATTAAATGTTAGCTAATTGACTAGAGCTCATCTCATGCTGCTGTTTCAGATACACAATCCTCCTCAGGACAGCTAGTTTTAGAAATGGAGGTTAACTTTCTAATAGGACTGAATGTTAGCTAATTGACTTGAGCTCATCTCATACTGACATGTTTCAGATACACAATCCTCATCAGGACAGCTAGTTTTAGAAATGGAGGTTAACTTTCTAATATAGGACTGAATGTGAGCTAATTGACTAGAGCTCATCTCTTGTTACTGACATGTTTCAGATACACAATCCTCATCAGGACAGCTAGTTTTAGAAATGGAGGTTAACTTTCTAATATAGGACTTAATGTTAGCTAATTGACTAGAGCTCATCTCTTGTTACTGACATGTTTCAGATACACAATCCTCATCAGGACAGCTAGTTTTAGAAATGGAGGTTAACTTTCTAATAGGACTTAATGTTAGCTAAATGACTAGAGCTCATCTCTTGTTACTGACATGTTTCAGATACACAATCCTCATCAGGACAGCTAGTTTTAGAAATGGAGATTAACTTTCTAATATAAGACTTAATGTTAGCTAATTGACTAGAGCTTATTTCATCATTTCATGCTACTGACATGTTATTGGAGCTAGTTTTGGAATTTGGGACAGTTAATAAAGGACCTAATCTTGGTACATTGACTACAGCTCAGCTCAGCTCATGCCATTGTTGACACATGACATGTTTCAGATACATAATCCTCATCAGGACAGCTAGAGATAGAGTGGAGAATGGGCAAATTACGCGAACTCCCTGAACGAGGAGTGAGAACAAGTAATATATATAACCTTCAACAGAACTCACCAGACGACATGTTGTTCTTCCAAAAATGTTTATGTAATTAGTTTACATTTTGGCACGTATTCCCCGCCATACAAAACCCAAACCAGGTAAATGTGAAAGAGTTATCTCCCGTTGGATTAAAAAAGAAAAAACATGTTTTTGTGCGTCTCCTTCGACCATGCATTTTTTTTTATAATTTCGACTACCTGGCAAAATCGCTTAGACATCTGCAAAGGTTCTAAAAACGAACCGTTTGAAAAATACAAGAATTTGACCTACCGGAGAAAAAAAATGTCGGCTGCACAAATTACTCGCTTCTGCAACAAATATTTTTGTAGTGATTGTCGCGAGTCGGACAAACATCCGGTTGAAAACAATTTTTTTCTTCGTTTTTATTAAAGTTTAGATTGAAATTGGGGAGGATTCTCATAAAATGTTTTGTAAACTTCGAACTGTTTTTTCTCTATGTGTGACGACATCGCAGATAAGCTCTAGTTTCGTCGAATATTTCCATTCCGTTTACAAAGTTCGATTTTTTTTTCTACTTTCAAGCCTCAGTCATAACCGAATTGGCACAAAAATTACCACCTAAATACGATTTTAAATGAACTAAAGATTTTAATTTTGAAATATTCGGCATGTAGTCATGTTTTCGGTAGTGAAAAGACTCAAAATGTGACTTAACTACCGTCAAAATGACCAACATGCCACAAATTATAAATGCCTTGATCTTTGATTATATTTTAAGCTACGACTCTTGCCTTATCTCAGGGATTTCTATTTCCATATGGGCCAGCCCTTTAAAAAGTTTATATACTTGAAACCACACAGCCCAGGCTCCGTTTTCTTTTCTTTGGGGGAGGGGGAGGGGGAGGAGGGTGAGGGTCAGAGAATAGAATTGAACGAGGTAAACTTACCGTAACAACTGCAACCTAAAAGAATACAACGCTGACGACCAGGTCTTGCTGTTTGATATCTCGAAAAATATACCACAGTAGCCAAGGGCCTACTCGCAGTAATTCGTTCTCGAAAAAATGTCTTTGAAACCAACGACGGGTTTTGTTTTCGGATACCCACAAGTATTTTGTCCTTTATCTTATGCGTATCGTATAGTCGCTTAGTTGACATGAAAGACGATGGCGAGATGACAAAGCAGTTTTGAGAATAACCAATGCGGGGTTAAAAAAAGGAACAGGATTATTATAGAGTTTTACGTCCGACTTTTTGCACTTGATTGGCTAAACGAGGAGGGGTTGATGTTGATTCGTTGTAAAGTTATAGAAACTGTTTTATTACAAGAAGTGTTGCATTCTGTTTGAAAAATAGGAACAGAAACTCCCCTTTCAGTTAAAAAAAAAAAAATTAGGGATGTGGGGGTGGGGTTGTTGCTTGCCCCTTTTAAAATTGTTTGTATCCCTATTTCTAACAACTGGTTTTTTTTTTCTAAATATGATTTTTATACGTTTTTGTCCTAAAATATATGCCAGGATGCACCAAATCCATTCTACTTTTCAAAAGTTTTCACTCCCCAGTGTCGCTTTTTGAATCCCAAACTCGTGTTGTCCCCCATTTAAGTCAGTCTGCTCCCTATAGCTTTAAGTACCCACATTTTTAGGGTAAAAAGGCAGCTTTTCGTTAACAGATTTGGAATAAATTGTAAGTCAACTTTCAGTTTCTTTGAAGACAAAATCGAATTTTATTTTCAATTTCAGTTTTCACCACATCACCAAGATCGCGATCATCCAGGAATTCACAGCAAAAACTGTCCGGTCTTTTCCGCAAGAGCTTCTTTAATATATCACTGTAGTCCAAAATTTCCTCGCCATACTCTACCCCTAAGGCTCTTCCCTCGCTATGAAATTCGTACCCCAAGGCTATGAACTCGCTATGGTGGAGTCCGACCCCCAAGGCTCTCTCGTTATGGAATCCGTACCCCAAGGCTCTCTCGTTATGGAATCCGTACCTCAAGGCTCTATCCGCGCTATGGAATCCGTACCCCAAGGGTCTGTCCTCGCTATGGCGTCCGTCCCAGGATTTCCCTTTAAACAAAAATTCTTTGACAATGACAGAATTTCTTAAGTTATGATCGGTTGAAAGATCCAACGCATGAAGTCGGTCTTGTAAACTCTCACAAGCGCTGACGAAGGATCCGCTGGTAACGACAGAATGCGAGCCAGGACAGTAAAACGAAGCACCGTTATCTGTAAAAATACTTCTGATGGTGCTGTAGGTTCCAACTGAGCTGCTTCCATCTTCTTGCATCTTGACGTCTACACTCCGTCTTGAGTTTTTCTAGAAACGAAATCGAAAGACGAATAAGGGAAATAAGTAAGATGTTAAAGAGAGAGAGAGAGAGAG